AACATCTCCAATTGTTTTTCTCCTATTTGGTTTGTAACATCTTGCCTGGTGAAGAAGCTCATGGAGCTTCAAATGCTTGCAACAAGTATATTGTGCATTTTGGTTGGCCAATAAAGGTATCATTGATAGATTTTTGTTTGAATCATGGGAATATGTTAGCTTCTCAGCATTCTCAAGTTGTAAGCCTCAATAAACTCAATAGGGCTTGCTTCTGAGTAGACATGCATAGACTAGACAAACCTGTTATTTTGTTGCTCCGCTATCATTGTAATCACCATCTTCAGCTTCACTCTCATCCCTCCCATATCATTACCTTCCTGTTTTCAAAATACTTAATTATTATTATTAGCATTATGATATTATTATTTTGGGAACTGAGAGAGAATTCAACAACTGATAGTAAAATAAGACAATGTGCTCAATAAGGGGCCCAGGGTAATGGGAGCAACTCATTAAAAACAAGATACATTTTTAGAACAGTGTTTCAAAAAGTGTTGAAAACAGATTTTTAAATGATTTTTTTCCTGATCAGTGCAGAGATTGGAACCCTTAATTTCCAACCAGAGGAATATTCTCTTGTCTGTTAGACTTTGGCCAAGATCCTGCATCATCAGATGTAACTATGATGATAGAGTTATTTTGTCACAGCAAGTTCTGACAATGGCACTCCCTCAAAGTACTTTCTCAGCAATGGCCCAACCAATGTGTTTTCTAGCTGTTGCAGATCAGGGCACTGGGAAATGGTGTCTGCAGGGCACGCTGAGAACAGGCAGATGGAAAGATCTCTTTGTGGAGATTTCACCTAATATCCCATCTCTGCCACCATATGTAGGGCCACCAGTATACAAGAGGCATGGGGCTTTCCACTCAGTCAATCACTTCAGTACCACCAACTTCAGTACCACCAACTTAGGATTCCTCTTAGGAAATTTCACTATTGTGGCCAAATGTGCTGGTCTTTACACTTAACCCACTGAATGTAAAGCCTTCCAGTGTTCATAGCAAACACTCAAGAAATCAGGCTTTCCCTGATCCCCACCTCTGCCACACATAAGGACTTCCTCCTGTACTCTTTGTGTGACACCAACTATGGGGTCAGTCTAAATGTCCTCAAGGTTCCTATGATGATTTGCAGTACTTTTATCCCCAACAGGATATTACTCTTCAATGCTACCACCACACACACCTTGTCTGCAACTCAGCTTTCAGAATGATAGTGATTTGGGACACTCTAAGTGCATTAAAAAACTCCGAAACTTTATTTACAGAAGCAAAACATAAAACAATAGATTTTTTTAAATATACAACTTTTGAAACATTCTCTCCTCTCAAGCTAAATAAGACCCTTACCAATCATACAAAAACTCCTTTCTCTCAGTCCAACACTAGTCTATATCAAACCCCTCTCAAACTTTTTCTCCAGCTGTACTCTTCTCAAACCCCAGGTTAGCTCTAACTCTAACTCCCATGCAATTCTCCTCAAACATTCCACCAATTAGCATCCACTTCAGCACTCCATTTTCTCCCCCCTCCCAACAGCTAATTACTCCATACATAATAAATCAAGCAGCATGATTTAGGGTTTAGTGTCTAAGGCTGCATCCACGACAGTGAAATAATTCAGCTCCAGTCTGCAGTATTCTGCCCTGATTGTACACCGATTTCATGCTTTTAATGCCACACTGAGTAGTAATAATGCAGGCTGAAATTGCATTGATAGCCACACATTTATTTTTCCAGAATTCAGATTGGTATACAAGGGAGTCCTTCCCATATTGGAGAGCCAGTGTGGCATAGTGGTTTGAGTGTTGACTATGAATCTGGAATCAGGGTTCAAATTCCAGCTTGGCCATTAAACTCACTGGCTGGCCTTGGGCAAATCAGACTCTCAGTCTGAGAGGAAATCAATGGCAAACCTTTTCTCCTCTGAACAAATCTTGCCAAGTAAACCCCATGACAGGTTCATCTGAGGGTTGCCATAAGTCAGAAACAGCTTGAAGGCACACACCAACAACTTCCCATGTCTGAATTGAAGTTTTTAAGGACACAAAACCATAGCTGCCTTATTCTCTCTCCTTCCCAGCATGCATGCACATGTGTATGTTGATGTAACTTAAATAAATCAATTGCTTTTCTTGAACCTTACACTCTCATTGGATAGCTCCTCCATCTAATCCCTTCCCACTTTCATGCCCCACTAAGTGATCATGAGTGAGTAAGGGAATTTTAAATGTCTCTCTCTCTCACTCACAGGATGGAGGGTGGTTGGTGCACTGATTTCCAGGGTGGACAGAGGGGGCAGAACATGGAGAGGGAGAGAGGAAGGATGAGTGAATAGGATGGCAGTGGCAACAGGAGGAAGTGGGGAAGGGGCTGCTGGAGGCTGCTCCTGAGGTGGTGGCTTCAGTGGATCCAATGACGTCCCTATGGGTCTACCCCCTCACTGTTGATCATAAACACTATTAAACATAAACATAATCCTTACACCTTTCCTGTCCCACTGAGAGACTCTTGATTGATTGGGGGAGCATATGTGTACTCCCCCCTTCCCCATCTAATCATGTAATGTAATAAAATAATAAATATTCAAACAAACATAACACACATCCCCGGCTGCAAAATTCTCCTCTAGTCAAACCTCACCTAGGATGTTATCACACTGGCCCTAAAGCAGAAAGAATCCTGCATCATT